ACAAAACACACACACACACACACACACACACACACACACACACACACACACACACACACACACACACACACACGCACACGCTCCCACTCCCATCTGAATCACCCGCTGCATTGTTATGGTGTAAACCTTTTAGCTGTGTAAACATTTAGCTTTAAATAGTTTGTGTATTGAAGCAGTTGTGCTGCTGTATCCTCAGACCTCGTGCCGGCCTCCTCCCTCGTATATCTCCCTGTTTATGTGACAGATGTTATGTAACTACTCACATTCACACCGCTTGTTTTTGTTAGAACCTCAATAAAGAAGAAGACCACTGAGAGGTTAATATTGTCCCTCTTTGTCTTCCTCTCCCTCTCCCCCTCTCCAACTCTCTCTAGGTTTTGTAAACTGAGAAGCCTCAGTCTGTCAAACAACTCTCTGTCCGAGTTTCCTTTGGCCTTGTGTGACATCACCTCGCTCACTGAGCTCAACTTGTCTGGAAATCGTCTGTCGTCACTGCCTGCAGAAGTTGGGACCATGCACAAGTAAGTGGGCCAGGGGAGAACGACCGCCGCTGGGCTGCGGTTGTTAAAAATGATGATGAGGATAATTTGGCAGGTATTTTCTCCAGAGCAGACTGTGTCCTCCGTGACCTGTACTTTGCTGACAGAGACGTCAGGCAGGGACTTGTTGTCGTTCCATCAGAGCAGATTAATCCGTCTCTGTATTGGATGAACAACTGGCTGTGATCCAGACTTTTGTCCTGATGGTGCAGAAGTTCTGTCCCGGTGACTTGAGTCGTGCCCACGCTGTCCCCGGACGATCCGGTGTCCGGGGTCAGATGCTCAGTTAATGTCCCGATCGGCATGTTGCGTTTAGGTTGGTCTTATCACACTAATGTATGTTCAGGTGTTCTAATAAGTTTGGTCTTAATTAGTTCTTTTAGATATAAATGTGCTGAGGTGTCACAATTGACAGCTGAGACTGGTTGAAAATGTTTTTCAGCTGAACCTTGATACTTTGGCTCCACTGCACCATCACTGCTGCGCCTCATTTTTCTCCAACGGAGCGAAGTGGAGACGCATCGTCCATCTTTGTATGAAGCCTGTGGTGTTTACAGGAGCCAATAACACGTAGTCTGTCACAGTCCGTGTGCTCCAGCTGTACATACCTGCGTCCAGCTGCTTGCCATGATTAATCGTTGTTATTTATTAAACTGATGAACGCTGACGACAGTTAATGAAGGTTGAGTGAGGTGTAAATTATGAGTTCTGTTTAAATCAGTTTTTTATCTCAGACCTGTTGTAAGAGCAGAGACACGTCTTCATCATAACTACAGTGTCTCACCATGAAGATAAATTTGTCCTCATAATTATCATGTTGGAGTTCTTCTTGTCAGCTCTCTTCAGAATCTCCCTCCTTTGGTCTGTTTGTGTCCAGTCTGCAGACGCTCCTCCTGGACAGTAACTTCCTGAGCTCTCTGCCTATGGAGCTGGGCTCTCTGGAGGGCCTGACCTACCTCGGCTTATCCTTCAACTGCTTCATCTGTGTCCCCGCCGTCCTGGAGAATCTCAGAGGCATGGAGAGACTCTGCCTGGCAGGGAACCAGCTCTCTGTCCTGGATATGGGTGGACTGCAGTGGCTGCCCGCTCACCACATAGATCTGAGGTAAGAGAATCCTCACTCGGACGTTTTTAGAAGTAATACTGGAAAAAAGCTCAGCTGAAATTTAACACTTCCCTAGATGCTGCAGGAAAAATGTGTTTAAGATTTCAAAGTCGCTGTCTGACTTGGTCTCTCATTCCTGTGGAATTGAAACGTTTTAAAGCACTGGAAAAAGGCTTAACATGATTTTAGCTTTTTCCGCTTAGATTCATTTCTGCAGCCAAAAAAACGAGACTGAAATTAATGAGTCTTGGTTTTTCTATCCTGTTTCATTTTGTTCATTATTTCTCTTGCACAGATTAAACCAGCTTCAAAAGGTGACAGTGGGAGACTCAGAGCATCTAGTCCACATTGTCCAGCTGGACCTGAGGGACACTGGTCTACAGGAGCTGGATGTCAGCGCCCTCTGCAGGCTGGAGCTCCTCCGCTGCGACAGAAACACTCTGTCTCTCCTCAGAGTCAGTGGCCACGCCCTCAAGAGCCTGCACGCTGCACATAACGGTAACACCAACACAGATAACGTCTGACACTGAACACACAATCACACAATCACACTGTAAAGAGTTCTGCATGTTGTGTTTGCAGAGCTGAAGCAGCTGGAGGTTGAACCTGTGCCAGAGAATCTGACAGTTCTGGATTTGTCCTGGTATGAAGACGACTCACTGCGAGCACTTCACTGTCCTGTTTACAGCGCAGGACAGAACAGACTGACTGTGTTTGTTATCTTTAAGGAACAAGCTGGGGTGTGTTCCTGACTGGGTGTGTGACAGCAGCAGACTGGAGGTGCTGGACATCAGTCACAACTCTGTAACTGAGCTGCCCATACGGTGAGCGACACACACACACACACACACAGGAAACACACAGTGTGTTTGTTTGGTACTCAGTGAGATTCAAACACATCTGGATGTTGTTTTGTTCTTTTCTGAACCGAGGATTTAAGGAATAGACGTAAAATTTTACCACCAAGATACAAAATTGACGTTATATTAAAATGGGACCTCGCTGCTTTTTATTTATCACACAGAAATTTGATTAAATGTTTTCTTAATGACATCAGCCATTATGTTCAGACTCTGTCAACACAAAGCACTAAAGTTATTGCAACACTGTGTTCATGATTTAAGAGTTATTTCAACATGAGGTGGAAAATGAGATCTCTAGAGGGAAGGGTGTTTTGTGTACTGTGTCCTCATCAGGGTAAAACAGAGCTGCTCCCACTGACAGATTTACAGTACACACACACACACACACACACACACACACTCACACACTAAGCTGGCTGTACTGTTTGTGTTGTAGGCTGCTGTCCAGTGGGAGCTTGAGGAAGCTGCTGTCGGGCTGGAACCAAGTGTGCCGACTGGCCGAGAGGCTGGAGAGATCACAGCTCGAAGTCCTCGACCTCCAGCACAACTATTTGACCGAACTCCCACACAACCTGTTCATGAAAGCACAGAGGTGAACACAACAACACAGCATCCTTTCTTTTCCTTTCCCTGTTTGTTCTTTCAATGTGTTTTTTTTATGGTCCGGTAACATTTTCAAGTCCTAACTTCGTGTTCTCTGTTGGGATTTCTTTGCAGCTTGCTATACCTAAATGTGTCAGCCAATAAGCTGGAGAACCTGCCTGCAGCCAGCCTATCAGAGGACAGCTACAGCAGCCTCGAGGAGCTCTATGTGACCAATAACAGCCTGACAGACAAGTGTGTCCCTCTCCTGACGGGACACTGCCACCTCAGGGTGCTTCACCTCGCCTACAACCAGCTGCAGACCTTCACTGCCAGGTACAAAACAGCACTGAACATGTATGAGAACCATTTGACAAAGAAATGTTCTAGAGATCTATAAATGATGCATTTATACACCTTGAATCAACAAATATAAATACAAACAGATGCAGATAAACACAACCACAGATATGTATTTTAAAGACTCATATTTTTATCAGCTAATGATCACCTCCACCTCCTGCAGTAAACTGGCACGACTGGAGCAGCTGGAGGAGCTTGACCTGAGCGGCAACAGACTGAGGACCGTGCCCACCACCATCCTCAGCTGTCAGCGCCTGCACACGCTCTCAGCCCACTCCAACTGCATCAACGCCTTCCCCGAGGTCCTGCAGCTGCCGGAGATCAAGGTGAGTTGGATACGAGCAGGTACTGGAGGCTGCTCACTGATATTTTAACCTGCCTCATTGTTTTTACACCTCCACAAACTCCTGTATCAGCTGCGCATCAACAACCTCATTCTAGTCTAATGACACAAACCAGGCTCCTTCTTTCTCTCTATCTGTCTTTTCTCTCCACCTCTGTGGTTCTTCATGGGATTGGGCCAGATCAGGAAATCCTTTGTAATCTCTTGGTAACTCCCTAATCTCTGTGTGAGTGTGGAAATAAGGGTGGAGAGAATAATGGGTCCAATATCGATGTACAAATCTTTTTTGATTCTTCTGAAACTCCCTTTGTTGCCTGCATGTTTTCTTTGTATGAAGAAATCTCAAGTAAAGGATACGCAACAATAAGTGTTGCATGTATATAATAAACAGATTTTGGTCCCTGCAGAGGTTTGGACACTTGAGCTGTCACTTTTTATTTGAAATTCAAACTGACCTGTTTGAGTTCAGAATATTCAGTCTAGGTTTTATTTAATGCATCTGTGCCTCCCCTTACACATCAGTGTCCAAGTGTAATATAACAAATGTCATGAGATATTAATTATAATCGCATTAGATCTTGATGTTTTTAACTGGGTAAGAAATTCAGCATCAACTCAGGTCCTTGTTTCTTGAATTACACCCTGAGGAATCATGAGGCCCCTTCAGATTCTCCCCTGACGCTCGCTCTGTGTTTTTCCTCCTCAGTGTGTGGATCTGAGCTGCAACGAGCTGACTGAGGTGACTCTGCCAGAGACGCTCCCTCCGAAGCTTCAGGAGCTGGACTTAACGGGAAACCCTCGCTTTAACTTGGACCACAAAAGCCTGGAGCTCCTCAAGTAAGGACTTCAGACATAAACACAGTGCAGCGTTTAAAAATACAAAACCAACAGAGCGATCGTTTTCATTTGTCCTCTTCTCTCCGCAGTAATATCCGATGTTTCAGAGTCGATCCGTCTCCCTCAGCGACGTGTGTGAGCGAGAGCCACAGGGCCCCTGCAGTCTGGAGCCACGGCTACACTGAGGCCTCCGGAATCAAAAACAAGTCAGTTTGTTTCTATCCAACCACTCCTCCATCAGTACTGTCTTATCTCTCAGATTATCAATCGTAACAACTTCAGTCACTCAACGTGCCAAACGCAAACTGATGCATAATTACAGAGAGATGCTTCACTGCATCTCTTTCAAAGATTTGGAACCAAAAATTCATTCTCAATCGTATTTTTTTTGTTCTTGCTTTTAATTAACTTGAGCCCTGTCTTTTTTCTTTTCTGTTGTAAGTCTTTATTGTTTGAATTTTGTTCTTTATTTAAGCTTCTGCTCTGTCTTGACTATTTTTTTCATGTAAAGCACCCTGAGCTCTGAAAGTTTATTGTTATTGAATTTGTCTGTGGAAAATGTGGAGCTTGTATGAAGAGAAATCCGAACGTTGGAGGGAACTGTAATTTTCAGGATGTGACAGTTTTAAAACAGTGTCAGATATATAAATTAGGAGTTGGACTCAAGACGGCACAATAAGTCAAAGGGTTGTGTTTCGCTTGGATCAGATGTGACGAGGTTGGAGCTGTTTCTCAGTTTTATTTGTGGGAGATTTCTCCACGTTAACATGTGGATCCTCATGTTTGCTGCTCTCAGGCTGTGTGTCGCTGCTCTGGCTCTGGACGGCTTCTGTGGGATCCGTGAGGCTCTGTATGGAGTTTTTGACGGAGACAGGAACGTTGAGGTGCCTTACCTGCTGCAGTGCACTATGGGAGACGTTCTGGCAGAGGAGCTTCACAGGAGCCAGAGGCAGGACGATTACATGACCAACACTTTCCTCACCATGCAAAGGTGAATATGTGTAAGAGTGAATGATTCAAAGACACAAACACCTGAATGTTTCCACAGCGATGAAACTGTCGTGTCTGTGTGTCACTCCGCTGCAGGAAGCTGGGCACAGCAGGTCAGAGGATGGGCGGCTCTGCGGCGTTATGCCACATCAGACACGACCCGGTGGCTCCCGGCGAGCACGGCGGCTGCTTCACTCTGAAGGCCGCTAACGTGGGCAGGTGTCAGGCCGTTTTGTGTCGAGACGGCAAAGCTATGCAACTCTCCACCTCACACAGTGTCAAAGAGGAGGCGGAGTATCAGAGGGTTCGAGAGCACAACGCCGTCGTCACAGAGGTAATAAAGGAGGAATAAAAAAGTTATGACACTTGACTGAAGGAAACTGAAAATCATATATTGACACTTGAATGAAGAAGAATGAAATCAAACAATGTTTCTAATGAATCTTGTGTGAGTTCATTTTTTGTTTCAGTAACGAAACTGATTCACTGATAAAAACATTTGATAATAATTCTGTAAATATCCTCTTTTCTTCTCATCTTCATTCTTTTTCCTCTCCTCCTCTTTGTTCTTCTCCACCTCCTCTCTCTTCCTCCTCCTCCTCTGCAGGATAACAAAGTCAGTGGTGTAACGGACTCCACCAGAATCATGGGTTACTCCTTCCTGTGCCCGTCTGTGACCCCCCGACCACACGTCTCCACGGTGACGCTCACTCCACAGGACGAGTTCTTTCTCCTGGGCAGCCGGGGATTGTGGGACATGTTGTCTCCCAGCGAGGCGGTGGAGGCGGTCAGGAATGTACCGGACGCTCTGGCTGCTGCTAAGAAGCTGGTGACTCTGGCTCAGAGCTACGGCTGCTCCGACAGCCTCAGCGCCGTCGTCGTCCAGCTCAGCATCACCGAAGACTGCTGCTGTTTCTGTGAGCCGCCGCCCCCGCCCCCCAGCCCCGGCCTGGGCGCACACACCAGCACACACCATTACTCAGCAAGCGGTGACGGTGCTATACCGCCGGCCTCCTCAGGAACAGTGAGCGAGCTGAGCAGTGAGTTCAGCACGTCCGAGATGAGCAGCGAGGTGGGATCCACGGCGTCGTCAGAGGAGCCGCCGCCTCAGACCGAGCCCCTGACATGCCACCTGAACCTGCCTGGACGAGCCGGCGTGCGGAGACCCGCCTGTGGAGGAGGGAGCTTCCAGAGGCAGTTCTCTGGAGCTCTGTCCGACAACGGCCTCGACAGCGAGGACGAGGAGCCCATCGCCGGTGTCTTCTCTAACGGCAGCCGTGTGGAGGTGGAAGCCGACGTCCACTGTCTGCACCGCCGTGACTGCCCAGCACCTCAAATATACTCTCCCACTCAGCCAAGCACAAATATCCCTCCTGCTGTGGCCTCGCTTCACGAGCCTTCACCCTCTCCCTTCTCCTCCCAGTCTCCCTCCCCCGTTCCTCCCTCCTCCCCCTGCCTCAGCGGCGAGGCTCGCTCTGGGACTCTGGGCCGAAGGGCTCGAGCTAACGGCTCAGTCGCCTGCCAAGAGAGGAACCAGGACCTCATAGAGGAGGCAGGTGACGCCCCCGTCAGGAAACAGGGGGGCTACTTTAACGCACCCGCCCAGCCGGACCCCGACGACCAGCTCATCATCCCCCCAGAGCTGGAGGAGGAGGTGCGGCAGATCATCCAGCAGCAGCAGCAGCAGCAGCAGATGCAGACGCACAACCAGCCAACGCACAACTTCCAGAAGCCTGCAGACTACTTCGTCACACCACTCTAACGTCTCTCCGCCGTCCTCAGCCGCTGCTTTCTCATCATCGAGCGTCAAGGACGGAGAACGGTGGATTCAGGACAGTCAGTGTCGACACTCCCTCCAAAAACCTCAGTTTTCTGATCATGGACCAGACTGTTTCGTTAGGGTTTTTCTTATTGACTTTATTTTCGACTGTTAACTCTACGCCCCTTGAAATGCAATGCAATTTTTTATAACATTTTATGTTGAATTAAATCCACACATGTAATGACTTTTACCATATCTTTAATTTGAAGAAGCACTTTGCTTAATTAGAGATGAATTCTATGTTAAATGGTACTTTAAGATTTGGACTATAATGTTTTTGTGGTTCCTCTGTCGGTCGTGGCTGACGGCCTCAGATGTCGGAGTTAGTAAAAGTGTTTAACTAACTCTTAGGAGTTTAATACTTTAAAGTGACCTCGTCACTGAAGCGTACTAATATTCTCTGAGAGAAAAGACGATAAGGTTTTCCAGGTTTGTGTTTTTAGGGGTTTGGGGGTGTTCGGAGTTCGGAGTGGTGCTGCAGTGGTGAGTAAATGCTGATCAGTTTCATACCAGCTCGATACGTGTTCTCAGAACAGTTACAGTCTCTTTACAACGGCAAATCGCACAAGAGCTACTTTTGCTATGTAATAAATTAAAGTTTTCAGATAACCACATGTTGACTTTGAGTGCTTGTGGAGCGAAGGAGGAGATTTTACATCATCAAAATCTGTCACGTTCTTAAACTCAGATATTTTTAAGCCTCCGTTTCAGAGACACCCAGTGAAAGGAGGCATTGTGTTGTTAGGTTGTCCGTACATACACACACACAGACTTTAGTACGTCTGTCTGTCCGTCCCATTCCTGTGGACATGTCTTAAAAACCTAAAAGAATTTGGTGGTCAAAGTCAAAACCCTTTTTCCCTTGTGAACAAATTATCTGAACTGAACTTATTCCTTTCACCTGATCTTGTTTCAGCTGCAGAGAGAACTAAAGTTTATTTTGAATTTAATCAATCTTGAAACAGCAAGAACAGAAAAACTGATGTTCCCCTCAGTTCCTGTGACATCACCTTGTTCTGTGACACAGTCGGTGTGAAACGGTAAATTTAGGACTCGGGTGTTTGCTTCACTCTGGAGAATTTATTTTGTCAGTAAGTGAACAGCGGTTACTTCACTGCTCTGAACGGGCGGTTCATTGTGCAGCAGCGTTGGCACGAAGCCTGTGGAGGGCAGAGTCTGACGCCCCCTACAGGCTGACATCACAAACAGAGTCGTGTTGGATAGAGTCACATTAGTGGAGGTTTAATTGGAGTGGATAAAAACATTTTAAAAAACATACAGCAATATGACAAACTTCTGATAAAATAATAGGCAGCTAATAATCCTCAAGCATTAGTGTGTCCGTCCCTTTTTAATCCCAGCGTGGACACGTCTTCATCTTTGACATAATTATAATGTTAAACTGGCCCCTAAAGTTCACGGTGGCATTTGTTTTTCTCAGCTCCTTGTTCGTTACTTCTCGATCTCAGAAAAAGGAAGAATGTTGAGGACTGCACCCGTTTCTCTGACTGAATATTCTTCACCGACACTAACGTACTGCTCAGGATTTTAATCCCTGAACCTCAACTTTCAGTGAACTGCTCACAACAGTTGTACAGTTAATATTTCCAACCGTTAAAATGATGAAAACTAACACCTGAGGATTTAAAATATTCTCCAACAACTTCCGGGTTGTCCTGAAAGAAGAGGGTCCTGAGGATCTGTAGGAACTTAAACTGGTTTTCTTTCAAATGTTATTCTGAGGGGCAGAAACAACAGCTTTGGTTCCATTATATTAGATTTGCACCCCATGAAATGTCATGATTGACAGCTGGGACTGACTAACGATTGGTCGAGCACATGTTTCCCTGCAGCTCCGTCCCCCAATCGGCTCAAGATGGCAGCGTTTGCATCCGTGATGTTTTGGCTCCATTTCTGGACAGACGTCGTCCGTCTTTGTTTACCGTCTGCGGTAGAAACGGAACATGTGACGGAGTAACACAGAGCTCACTGTGACCTCTGACCTTTCAGTGACCACCGTGTAAAACGTATAAAAATGTTATTATAAACACTCTGATGAGAATCTGTAGAAATTAAGATGAATTTTTCCAGTGATTGGTCGGTAGTTTGTTCTACTTTAGAGGATGCAGACCCCCCCCCCCCCTCACACGGAGGTGGTTTCGGCCCTCAGCGGCCCCCTGGGTCTCTCTGCCTCTCGTCGTTTTCTCTCCTGCAGGTAGCGCCTCACTCCTCGGATGGTCCGGATGGTGAGCACCGTGCCGGCCGTGTACAGGATGGCAGTGATGAGGCCGAACAACGCCACGGCAGCGTCCGCCCCGCTCACGTCGCAGCTCATCCAGGTGTAGCCGTTACGTGCGTACAGCCTCTCCCGCTGCTTGCAGACGTCTGTGGAGTTCACCCCGATGATGAAGTGCAGGTAGAGGCCGACAGCCACCACGTACGCCACCGCGCCCACCGCCTGAAACAACAGGGCTCCGACCAGAAGCTTCCTCGACATCAGGTGGGGGGGTTTGCTGCCAGCGACCACAAACAGCAGCGAGACGACGCCGAAGGTCAGGCAGAAGGCGATGCCCCCGTAGATTCCCGGTGCCCTCATCTGGCTGTACTGCATGTCCAGGTCTCGTACCTGCTGCAGCTCGGTGCCCTGCAGGTTGAAGTTGGAGTTGATGTTGAAGCCGCCCATCGCGGCAGCCGAGGACATCCCTGACGACACCATCTGAGCTGCGACCACACAGATCAGCACCAGAGCGTTGGTCAACACGGAGCAGATCAGGATGACACCTGGGAGGAGGGGAAACAACCTTTACTAAACCTATTGTTTCTACACCTTATATCCAAAATATGAAGAAAATGAACACAGTAAAGTCACATTCTAGGACCTCGAGAGCGCCCCCTACACAACCTGCATTAGAAACTCTCCCTGTGCTTCACTCAGTTCTTTTTATTCCCAAAGGATCAACTGTTCACGTGAAACTGATCAGGATTCATTAAACTCTCTGTAAACAGCAGAAAACCAGTCGCTCCAGTTTCCAGTGGGAGGAAACGACCTGCAGTGAAACCAGAGTCTGACGCAGCGTCACCTGTTGGGAGGAGGTTTGGGTTTTATTCCACCCAGAATGCAATGCTGTTCTGCTCACCTCTCCTGGAGCAGATGTAGGTGCATTTGGAGTTGTGACGCTCCCCTCGAGGAGCCTCCCGCACATGTTTAGGAGGGGGGTCGTCTTCCCTGGGGAGGTACGGAGGTCGAGAGGACGGCCTGAGGCCCAAAGAAACAAGTGTGAAATAACAGGAAATAATCACTGACCATCACATATTTTAAATATATATATACATTATAAGTGAACTTTTTCTTTCTTCGTTCTATTTTTAGTTGTGTTCCTCTCCAGCATCACGACTGAGTCAGATTTCTCTTTTTAGTGGAGTAAACATTACATTTCACATGAATACAAACACACCACCACAGGTCACTGAGCTCACCTGTCGCTGTTGTTGTCTCGGTGATGTCGATGGTCCCCGTTTCTCTCCCGGTTCGCCCGGTTTGTCCGCGGCTGATGACTCATTCCTGTTGACCACACGTTCAGTTCAGACACGAACACCCAGAGAACGTTGCAGGTCACAGAGCGACGGAGACTTTTTAACTGATATTTTCTTTGGTTTTGAGTAAAACAAAAATTGTGTTTTGAAGAGAGACTGCAAGTTCGCTTTAATGACAGTGAGAGCCTTGACTATCTTGTTAAATCAGAAAAACCAAACAGAATTGTTTTTTTTAAATGAAATTATCTAATAACATTATGTTAAGAAAATATATAAAAATCTGCTCTATTGTTCTGGATAAATGAAATGTTGTTTTTCTCAATTAAATGCAATATGCTTCTATTTCATTTGTTATATTTTGAAATAATCTACTTTACACTCGTCTTTCTGAAAACGGTATCGGGCTGGTTTCGATAATATCGCCCCTTTGTTTATAGGTATCGCACATGATGACGTCAGAACGCAGGCTTCTTTATCAACACAATAAATTCATGATGAAAACAAACAACTCGACAGAAAATTCAGTTTGAAAATTAACATGTTTCACTTCCTGTAAATCAAGTGAGGAGCAGCTGAGAATCCAAACAACGAGGTTTCAGGTTATTTACGAGTTTTAATCAAGTAAAAACTTCGTTCAAACATTGAAGACGTGAACAAACTTACTGTGAATTCAGTGAACGAACCGTGAAACACGATTATTCCGCCATTATTCGATCCGAGAATCATCCGCGACCAGAGTCCAGGTGGAGAAGACCCCGCCCATGTACCTGGAGGCGGAAGTGAAGCTACCATGTGACGGACAGGTGACTGACAGGTGATCTACACACACGTTACAGACAGTCTGTGGTTGTTGTTGTTTTTTATCACCTGTTGTTCTTTCACAACTTTAACGAGTTTAAATCTAAACGTAGAAAGTTACGAACTCTGCTGCTTCACTGTGAAAACACGGAAACACACGCAGTGATCCGCCTTCACTTCCTGGTTGGTTTGTCAAACCTTTCCAGAATAAAGTTGGAATATCACAAGAATAAAGTCGTAATTTTGTTATAATAAAGTCGTTACAGGGACATTGTTGTGTCTTTACGTGAATAACGTCACAATAT